TATTATTATTAATATTATTATATTATTATGATTAATATTATTATTTATATTATTTTTATTATGCGTTAAAGGAATATATGTTTACATTTTTGTTATATATGTTAAATATAATAATTACAAAAACATTTTTATTAAATATAAATACTGTATATCTAATATACATAAATAATATGAAATATGCATGAAATATTTTTTTCTACATAAATATACTACTTTATTTATTCCCTATTGGTGCTACCTAAGTATTTTTTGTTAAGAATTTTAAAGCATTAATTGTATTATTTGTATTTAAATTTAATTTTTATTAAAGTTTCTTAATCTTGTAATATTTTTATAAATTTTATATATTCTTAATATATTAATTTTTATATTTTCAATATATTTATAATACTTACTTAATTGTTGTTTTTATTTTATGAAAGACATATTGCAACGTTTTTTTTACATAAAAGTTTTTATAGAAAATATTTAATAATGTTAATATAAGTTAAATAATAATAAAAATAAAAATTGTAATTGATTCTACTTTAATTTTTACGAATTTATTAATTTTTACAATTTATAAATTTAAAGAAATTTGCGGGAATGGATGATAAATGTCGGACCAATCACAAACCGGGGAGAAGGTGGCCAGACTCTTATTAGAGGGTCACTACTGCCGAAGGCCACCCCCTTGCACCCGCCCGTGTGTGTGTGTATGTGTGTGTGACTGTGACAGATTTCCTAACCTAAATAGTCGTCAACTTTAACGTTAAATATCTCGGTTCGTAGGGCAGAGCGACACTTTTTTCTGCCAGATTCTTTCGTTTCATGCAAAAACGTGTCGAATAAGCCTAATTTGATCGATTTTTAAGGTGAGGCAGTGATTCTGTATAATTACCCTACCGTATATTTTTGAAAGTGTTGCCGACTTTGACCGTGCATTGTTTTGTCCTATTTGTTCGTTTATATATTTTTCGTACGATTTTCATTAAAACGATTTTCATTAAAGACGTGATCTGGCAGTATCGCTTTCCCATTATTTGGTAGGCGTGGTGCCATAAGTTTGAATTACTCGATGCGTGTTCGCGGTTGTGCTCGTCTCGATTGCTCGTCATCTTGCACCCTTTGACGACTCGGGCTCTCATGACGCGCGTTGTTGCGACGTGACGACGTCGTAGACGCAGGCGCCCAGATACCGGTCGAGCAACGCCATTCTCGCGGGCATTGCATCATCCGTTCGACAGACATTTTGATGCGATTTTCATTTTTTGACGTGATCTTATGGTGGAAGTATACGTGGTGTGCTTAGTTTTGCGTTGTCTCATTCTAAAATCTCCCGACTCTCTCTTTTCTTGTCGCCGAAAAAAATAGGCCTGCCACCACAAAAAATATTCCTAGAATAGTGGGTATTTCGCGCTGTTATGTTGCAAATCACACTAGGAAGCAGCACATGTATACACACAGCACACAATGCATATAAACATTGACATCTCTACTTTAATATCTAATAATTGTAATTAAAGTATGTATATATTCACATGTGCATAATAAGCTAAGCTTATAAACTAAGCTTACATGTGCATTGCAACATGAATCGTTGTCTTCTTCGACACTAGCTGTATTTCCATTGCCGAATGTAGACTCCAATATTTCAGATAGTTTTAGTAGTTAATTTAATATAAGTAATAGACATTATTAAGAAAAACACTTTACAGATTTTACATAAATTGTCTATATCAATTTTACTCAATGTGCATGTATGCATACGAGTAAAATGTATATTTTTGGAGTCTCAGAAAAAGTAGCAGAAGAAGACAATATTATAATGTTTCAACAAAATCGAAGTAAAAATAAACATTGACATAAATTTGACTTAAAGTTATTAAATATTACTATTATCAACACTTACCATTTAGAGTATTGGATGGAATTACACTTCCTCCTATGTTTTTAAGCCACTCTTCACGCATAATGGCATTATTCGGCAACTTGTGGAAGCTTACTTCCTCCGGAGTACACGTTATGTTGGTGTTCTTACACGCTTTAACAATACACTGCACCATTTTACTTCAAATTTTCACTTTAATTTCAAAATAACAGGCCTGCACGTTTCTTTCAGGAGACGGCTAAAGACAGACTGAGATAGATGATCCACGGCGCATGCATAAAAGAGACACTACTAGTTCAGTACTGCCAACCTTTCTAAGTTGGCCGCCCTATGTTTTTCGGTGACAACCGCGTTGAAAAGGGGCGTGGTTTACGAGTTCTGAGCACACCATGTATACTTCCACCATGCGTGATCTGGCCGTATCTAGAGTCCTAGATATCAGAGAAGCGCAACCGGCTTAAGTCAGTATCGCAAAATTACTAAGAAAAGTATTAAAAATGGCGTCATTTGCAGACGAAATATGAAATCCACCAATCGTCTATTAGTCAGCCATTTTTAATACCACTGAATGAATGTCATGATTGGCTGACAGTCAGCTAATCAGGACACGGAACATCGGTTGCGCTTCTCTGATATCTAGGACTCTAGCCGTATCGACCTACCTGTTGCTTGGAGGCGAGAGCCATTAAATAAATAAGAAGAAGAAGAATATACTGTGCTGCAGTTCTGAACTTCTGACGAACCACTCGGCCGCGGAGGACGCGTCTCAATCGGGTGCTTTCTACCGTATATTTTTGAAAGTGTTGCCGACTTTGACTGTGCATTGTATTATCCTAAATTAGTTCGTTTTCATATATTTTTACGATTTTCATTAAAGACGTGATTTGGCAGTATCGACCTTTTCCATTATTGGGAGGCGTGGTGCCATAAGTTAGAATTACACGGTGCGTGTCCGCGGTTGAGCTCGTCTCGATTGCTCGTCATCCTGCACCCCTCGACAACTCAAGCTCTCATGACGCGCGTTATTGCGACGTGACGACGTCGTAGATGCAGGCGCCCAAAGACCGGTCGAGCAACGTCATTCTCGCAGGCATCATTCGTTCGCCCGCCATTTTAATATAATTTTCATTTGAGACGTGATCTGGCTGTATCGTCCTACCTATTATTTGGAGGCGGGTGCCATTAACTAAATAAGAAGAAGAAGAAGGTTTCTCTCTGGCGTGACTGAACTTTGCTAAGGATTGTCGAGAAAAAAAAAATGTTAGGACGTAAAAAGAAGAACAAAAACAAATTGTTAGGAAAGAGACCTCGACATGTTCTTGATAAAGAGCAAAAATATTATCGGGAGAGAGACAACGAAGAATCCGATAAAGAAGACAAGGCAGGTTAGGCAACAATGACGAGATACATCTTGCGAAATTTCAATTCTGTAATAACCTCGGTTGAATTTTCAGAAGTCAGTGAACACTCGATCCATTTCCCTGTGGCTATGTGGGACATGGAGCACTGCGATCCCAAGAAATGTTCTGGAAGAAAGCTCGCGAGACACGGCTTGATAAAGATCCTACGACTGGGTGCACGATTCTCAGGCTTGTGTCTTACTCCAGTGGGTAATAAGGTAGCCAGCGAATCAAGAAAATCACTGTTTTTCCTTGCTTTCTCTCTCTCTTTTTTTTTTTTTTATAGAAAAAAGTTTAGAAAATTTTTATCAAATATTTAGAAAATGTCTAGTATCTAACCAGACAATTGTTCTATCTGATATTTGACTAGACATACGATATCTGGCAATTTTATAATCTGGTGTGCACCCTTATTTTAAATTATATATATAATACATATAATAAGAGTTATATTTAGTTGTTTATTCTTTGTATTTAAAATTCTTTGCTTATTACTTTCCAATATTTTTCAAGATTTTATCTGTGGAATTGTTTTTTTTTTAAAGATCTTTCAAATGGAAAATCTTGGGAGCTTTCTAATAAGTTATCTGTGTATCACAGTAATCATTTCATCTTTGTTTAATTTAGTTCCTACAATTAGTGGTAAAAACTAATTTGTTCCAGTTAATTCACTCGTTCCAGTGAGATATATATACAGGGTGTCCCGGAACTACCGCATTTAATCTTAAGAACGTATTTTTGAGAAAATTTTATGAGAAAAATTCTAATAAAAAAATGTCGAGGCTATAATAGTTTTTTAATTAATCGCATTTAAATTTCGCTAATGACAGAACTGAGATTTCGCGCGCTCAGGCATGACGATATGACAAGTGGTGAATGTACCACGAGGGCCCCATAAACATGCAATATTTTTCAGAAAGTTGTTTGAAAAAACATTTGTACCTTTTTAATTTTTAATTATACACACATGTGCGTAATTAATATGTATAATTAATCTCGGGGAATAGTATACCTAAATAAAATATCAATTCAATAGCAAAATTATTCAATAGCAAAATAAAATTATTATAATTTTACAATATGGAGTACACAAATGAAGAGTATTATGACATGTTACTCATTTATGGCGAATGTGACAGAAATTCACATGAGACTAGACATATGTATGTGGAACGTTACCCTAATTATACACATATGTGCGTAATTAATAGTTAAAAGTAATATAAATGATAATAGTTAGAAATACGTTTGCTTCTGGGTGTCTACGATGAAGGTAACATTCTACATACATACGTCTAGCCTCGTGTGAATTTCTGTCACAGTCGCCATAAATAAGTAACATGTCACAATACTACTTCATTTGTGTACTCCATATTATAAAATTATGATAATTTTATTTCTGTTACAATTTTATTTTACGTCAAAAATAGTTTATCGATATTATCACAAAAATGTTTACCATGCGAGATAAATGAACATAGTTACGAATTTATTTTGACAGCTGATACTTATCGTAATATTTTGCTATTGAATTGATATTTTATTTAGGTATACTATTCCCCGAGATTAATTATGCATATTAATTACGCACATGTGTGTATAATTAAAAATTAAAAATGTACAAATGTTTTTTCAAACAACTTTCTGAAAAATATTGCATGTTTATGGGGCCCTCGTGGTACATTCACCACTTGTCATATTGTCATGCCTGAGCGCGCGAAATCTCAGCTCTGTGATTAGCGAAATTTAAATGCGATTAATTTAAAAACTATTATAGCCTCGACATTTTTTTATTAGAATTTCCCTTATAAAATTTTCTCAAAAATACATTCCTAAGATTAAATGCGGTAGTTGCGGGACACCCTGTATATATATCCTAAAAAATTAATATCATAAAAATAAAAAGATCAAGCCGTCATGCGCAATCCAAGTGCTGCACGACGCTCGAGTGACATTTGATCTACGCACGGGGCGGTGAGGTGAGGACAGTGGAAGGCGAAGACAATTCGAAAATCGGCCGAAAGTTTCATACATTTTATGTATGTTTACTTTGAATTGACACCTTTAATTAATAATATATCAGTTACTTTTCATGGTAATATATTATTATTAGATAAAAAGGTTTAAATTTTTGAGGATCTTTTTTGAAGATGGCTTGACCTTTTTATTTTTATATGATTTTTTTTAGCATACACGTATTTTTTAGAGTACAAATATATTACAAATATATATTTAAAAAATAATTTAAAAATATTATATAACGAAAAAGATTGAAATTTGGAAAGAGAAGAGTGATGGGGAGATGGGGGTGATGGGGGAATGGATGCAGTGGGTCAAAGTTGATGGAGGTGTGAGTGAAAGGTGAGAGAGGAGAAAGATGCACATGACGGTGGACAGAGAAGAAGGATACATTACTTCATTTTTCATGAAAATTATCACTTTTTGACTATTTGTATGTTCAGAACAGCTTGACTGATTTTAAATTTTTTTTAGCTCAAATTGCTCGTAATGATACTGACTTTCAGGATATATTACATGCAATTCAAAATTTTTTATATTTTAGTAGTTATGATCCCCCCAAAAATGGACTTTGGTGGCTCGGGATAAGAAACTAGTAGTGTCTTTTATTAATCTTTTAATTTAAATTAAGTAGTAGTTTTTTTGAACATGGCAGAAGATACTATCGCGTCTTCTGATATATATATATTTTTTAAATGTTGACCAGAGCTAGTTGGAAAGTATAAAACATGTTTCCTCTGTACATACCTTGTAACATGAAATCTGAAATTTTTTACTCCTGACTGAAACATTCCATCTTGTTTTGACTAATTAAATTCGAAACATATATATTTTATTTCAAGTACTAGCATATATTGTTCAGCTACAAAAAAACAAATCTCCGATTTTATTACGAAAATTTAATGTTACTAACTGAATGTTACAGTGTGTAAATCCAACGGATTATGATATTATACGGGAGTACGGTTGCGCAGTCGTGGATTGCAGCTGGGCGCGGTTGAACGACACTCCTTTCAACAGAATGAAGACGCCTCATCCTCGCTTACTACCATTCTTAGTCGCTGCCAATCCGATAAATTATGGAAAGCCTTGTCAGCTGAGCTGCGTAGAGGCTATAGCAGCTACTCTGATTATAACGGGATTTCCAAAAGAGGCCGAGCTTTATCTTGGAAAATTCTCATGGGGACATTCGTTCTTAGAGCTGAACAGCGAGCTGTTGGAAAAGTATACTCTTTGCACAAACAGCGAAGAAATAATTATGACACAAGAAATGTACCTAAAGAAAGCCTGGCAGGAGAAATTAGATAGGCTTGGTAAAGATTTTTTATAATCTTTTTCTTTATCAATGCTTTATCAATGATTTTTTACTAAATATTATTGTTTATGTCTTCTTAGCGCTTCCTGATTTTCCGGAAGACAATACGGAATCCGAAGAAGAGAAAGAAGAGAAGAATGAAAAGAAAGCGATATCAAAAGTAACTGAGCACTTAGGCAATATAAAAGTATAGTAATTAAAACTAGTTACCTTTTTAACGAAATTCTTTATTTTGAATTTCCAACCATTACGATTTAAAAATGCATAATAAATTTCTAAAACTTGTGAAAGGACAATTGACAAATATGGAGGGGAGAAAGAAGATTGGTTTGTTTTTTATTGCTGAACTTTCAGAACTAGTATAAGAAGTGTACACTGAAGTGTTCTTTATTGCAGAACTGGTGTCAAAGACACTGGCCTGGTTTACATTGTGCACGCGATACGCGTAGGTACTATATTCATATCAAATTCGTACTAAACATTTAGTACACACGATGTAAACGCTGTCGGATTATTTTGGTACGAGCGTATCAAGCAGGAATATTGTACTAAACTGATACGCGTATCAAATGATACAAATGGCGATGTAAACGCATGAAACACATTTTGGAGGGAATTACCCAGCCACTCCCATCTGCATTAAACGTGCAACAGCAGCACGCAGTAACTGGCAGTAACCTCAAAAGTGTTAATCTCTTTTTTGGTCTATCTTAAGATGTCTTGTAAAAAAAGTTTCATTCGATGTAAAACGTTCGATGTAAATGCATGCGTACTAAAGCATTAGTGCGCATCAAATTTAATACGCGTTCTAATACTTTCACGATGTAAACTAGGCCACTGTTCTTTATTGTAGTGTAGTGATACTGAATGCATAAAGGTTCATTGAACTAGCTGCACTGGATCTAGAGCCAGTGTAAACAATGCAGAGCAAATGGAAATGTAAAATAGTCGGTAAAATTAAAAAAGTAAGCATTTCAAAAACAATCGGTAAGTAAAGTAGCCCTCTTAAACGAAAAAGACTTTCATGTATTAATTATATTTTAATTTATGTATTAATTATATTTATACATTGCACTTGAAATATGTAAATTAAAACCATCAACAATTACTGTTCAAAAAGTAGTAATCATAATATTAAACGTTAAATTTGTAAGATTAGAAAATCTTGTGTTCATGCATAATAATACTGGGGGACATCTTTACACAATAGTCATTTCTAATGTATTTTTGCCCGCTGAAGACAAATCTGTTATCAAAAATGGACTATTACAATTTTAAGAAAAATCTTAATCAGCAAACGTAACTCTCTTTCATACATTTTTTTTTTTAATTGTAATGTAACAGTCAACTTTTATCAATGGATTCGTATTTAACAAACAGAAATACGTCGAGAATGACTATTCACACTTGTATGGTGGAATTGCTATTGCATCTTCTCTATCAAATGGTAATTATACAGAATCACTGCCTCACCTCAAAAATCGATCAAATTAGGCTTATTCGACGCATTTTTGCATGAAACGAAAGAATCTGGCAGAAAAAAGTGTCGCTCTGCCCTACGAACCGAGATATTTAACGTTAAAGTTGACGACTATTCAGGTTAGGAAATCTGTCACCGTCTCACACACGCACACACACACACACACACGGGCGGGTGCAAGAGGGTAGCCTTCGGCCCTCCTCCGCACCCACACCGTCGACGCATTTTTGCATGAAACGAAAGAATCTGGCAGAAAAAAGTGTCGCTCTGCCCTACGAACCGAGATATTTAACGTTAAAGTTGACGACTATTCAGGTTAGGAAATCTGTCACCGTCTCACACACACACACACGGGCGGGTGCAAGAGGGTAGCCTTCGGCCCTCCTCCGCACCCACACCGTCGACGCATTTTTGCATGAAACGAAAGAATCTGGCAGAAAAAAGTGTCGCTCTGCCCTACGAACCGAGATATTTAACGTTAAAGTTGACGACTATTCAGGTTAGGAAATCTGTCACCGTCTCACACACACACACACGCACACGCACGCACACACACACACACACGCACACACACACACACGGGCGGGTGCAAGAGGGTAGCCTTCGGTCCTCCTCCGCACCCACACCGTCGACGCATTTTTGCATGAAACGAAAGAATCTGGCAGAAAAAAGTGTCGCTCTGCCCTACGAACCGAGATATTTAACGTTAAAGTTGACGACTATTCAGGTTAGGAAATCTGTCACCGTC